TTTCACTTATGTGTTAATGTCAGTCCATTTGTACCGTGTACTTCTCACACAGTCTAATTACGTCAAAAATTGCTATCAATGGTACATTCGGAAGTCTACAATCGGAATACTCAATCGAAAACCCCATTATCATTAAGTTATAATAAAAAACAATTCTAAAAAAGAGGGGATATTTTTTGTTTCTATCATGACAAGGTTTACCATTAAGGAATGCCTAATGGTGTTAGAAAACCGATTAACTTTCTTCTCCACCTCCTTTTCCGTGATTGTCAATGTGACGTCATACATCACGTGATTATATCGATTTCTCGCATCCTAGCGACAAAGATGAAGATTTCACGCCGATAATACAACGTTAGAAACACAATCATATTTCATCACGTCCATTTCCCAGACTTTTTTCGACACCGACCCATGTGCTAAATAGTGTTATTACAGACAGATTCATGTGGCAGATAAGTGTTCAGAAATCTGTTACGTCAAAAGCGGTTAACGGATGGTAAAATAGTGACTTATGATTTTATACACCTTGAAACCGAAGGAGTCTACTTCACAAACGGGACGTTATGTGAATAATATATTGTTTTGAAAACACTGTGTAAAATTATCTTTCCTTGTTCAATCATCGGTAAACGTCCGAAGTACAGTACACTTTTTATTGGTCAAATTCAAATTACTGTCCATTGCGTATCTGTAAGGGTAAATATTTGATTATCGTCCATTATGTGAGGATCAGTGTCCGAATTACCGTCCGTTATGTGAGGATCAGTGTCCGAATTACCGTCCGTTATGTGAGGATCAGTGTCCGAATTACCGTCCATTATGTGAGGATCAGTTTCCGAATTACCTTCCGTTATGTTAGGATCAATGTCCGAATAACCGTCCGTTGTATGAGTATCACTGTCCGCATTACCGTCCGTTTTGTGAGGATTAATGTCCGAATTACCGTCCGTTTTGTGAGGATCAATGTCCGAATTACCGTCCGTTATGTAAGGATCACTGTCCGAATTACCGTCTGTTATGGGAGTATGAATGTCCGAATTACCGTCCGTTTTGTGAAGATCAGTGTCCGAATTACCGTCCTTTATGTGAGGATCAATGTCCGAATTACCGTCCGTTTTGTGAGGATCAGTGTCCGAATTACCGTCCGTTATGTCAGGATCAGTGTCCAAATTACTGTCCGTTTTGTGAGTATCAATGTCGGAATTACCGTCTGTGTGTGACGATCAATGTCCGAATTACCGTCCGTTTTGTGAGGATCAGTGTCCGAATTACCGTCCGTTATGTAAGTATCAATGTCCGAATTACCGTCCGTTATGTGAGGATCAATATCCGAATTACCGTCCGTTATGTGAGGATTAATGTCCGAATTACCGTCCGTTTGTTGAGGATTAATGTCCGAATTACCGTCCGTTATGTGAGGATCAATGTCCGAATTACCGTATGTAATGAGAGTATCAATGTCCGAATTACCGTCCGTTTTGTGAGGATCAATGTCCGAATTACCGTCCGTTTTGTGAGGATCAGTGTCCGAATTACCGTCCGTTATGTGAGGATCAATGTCCGAATTACCGTCCGTTTTGTGAGGATTAATGTCCGTTTGTTGAGGATTAATGTCCGAATTACCGTCCGTTATGTGAGGATCAATGTCCGAATTACCGTCCGATATGTGAGGATCAGTGTCCGAATTACCGTCCGTTTTGTGAGGATCAGTGTCCGAATTACCGTCCGTTATGTGAGGATCAGTGTCCGAATTACCGTCCGTTTTGTCAGGATCAATGTCCGAATTACCGTCCGTTATGTGAGGATCAATGTCCGAATTACCGTCCGTTATGTCAGGATCAGTGTCCGAATTACCGTCCGTTTTGTGAGGATCAGTGTCCGAATTACTGTCCGTTATGTCAGGATCAGTGTCCGAATTACCGTCCGTTTTGTGAGGATCAGTGTCCGAATTACCGTCCGTTATGAATTACCGTCCGTTATGTGATGAGAGTGTGGATTGTGAGGATCATGTCCGAATTACCGTCCGAGTGTCCGAATTACAGTCCGTTTTGTGAGGGTCAGTGTCCGAATTACCGTTCGTTATGTGAGGATCAGTGATCAGTGTCCGAATTACCGTCCGTTTTGTGAGGATCAATCCGTTATGTGAGGATCAATGTCCGAATTACCGAATTACCGTCCGTTATGTGAGGATCAATGTCCGAATTACCGTCCGTTTTGTGAGGATCAGTGTCCGAATTACCGTCCGTTGTGTGAGGATCAGTGTCCGAATTACCGTCCGTTATGTAAGGATCAGTGTCCGATTTACCGTCCGTTGTGTGAGGATTCGTCCGTTTTGTTATGTGAGGATCAATGTCCGAATGACCGTCCGTTATGTGAGGATCAGTGTCCGATTTACCGTCCGTTGTGTGAGGATCAGTGTCCGGATTACCGTCCGTTATGTGAGGATCAATGTCCGAATTACCGTCCGTTTGTTGAGGAATTACCGTCCGTTTTGTGAGGATTAGTCTCCGAATTACCGTTCGTTATGTGAGGATCAATGTCCGAATTACCGTCCGTTTTGTGAGGATCAATGTCCGAATTACCATCTGTGTGTGAGGATCAATGTCCGAATTACCGTCCGTTTTGTGAGGATCAGTGTCCGAATTACCGTCCGTTTTGTCAGGATCAGTGTCCGAATTACCATCCGTTTTGTGAGGATCAATGTCCGAATTACCGTCCGTTTTGTGAGGATCAATGTCGGAATTACCGTCCGTTTTGTGAGGATCAGTGTCCGAATTACCGTCCGTTATGTAAGGATCAATGTCCGAATTACCGTCCGTTATGTGAGGATCAATGTCCGAATTACCGTCCGTTTTGTGTGGATCAGTGTCCGAATTACCGTCCGTTATGTGAGGATCAATGTCCGAATTACCGTCCGTTTTGTGAGGATTAATGTCCGAATTACCGTCCGTTATGTGAGGATTAGTCTCCGAATTACCGTTCGTTATGTGAGGATCAATGTCCGAATTACCGTCCGTTTTGTCAGTATCAATGTTCGAATTACCGTCCCTTATGTGAGGATCAATGTCCGAATAACCGTCCGTTATGTGAGTATCAATGTCCGAATTACCGTCCGTTATGTGAGGATTCATGTCCGAATTACCGTCCGTTATGTGAGGATCAATGTCCGAATTACCGTCCGTTATGTGAGGATCAATGTCCGAATTACCGTCCGTTATGTGAGGATAAATGTCCGAATTACTGTCCGTTGTGTGAGGTTCAATGATCGAATTACCGTCCGTTTTGTGAGGATCAGTGTCCGAATTACAGTCCGTTTTGTGAGGGTCAATGTCCAAAAGTCCTGTTTGTGAATTGTCCGAATTACCGTCTGTTATGTGAGGATCAATGTCCGAATTACCGTTCGTTATGTGAGGATCAATGTCCGAATTACCGTCCGTTATGTCAGGATCAGTGTCCGAATTACCGTCCGTTATGTGAAGATCAGTGTCCGAATTACCGTCCGTTTTGTGAGGATCAGTGTCCGAATTACCGTCCGTTTTGTAAGTATCAATTTCGGAATTACCATGCGTTATGTTAGGATCAGTATCCGAATTACCGTCCGTTTTGTGAGGATTAGTGTCCGAATTACCGTCCGTTATGTGAGGATCAATGTCCGAATTACCGTCCGTTTTGTGAGGATCAGTGTCCGAATTACCGTCAGTTATGTGAGGATCAGTGTCCGAATTACCGTCCGTGTATGAGGTCCGAATTACCGTCCGTTATGTCAGGATCAGTGTCCGAATTACCGTCCGTTATGTGAAGATCAGTGTCCGAATTACCGTCTGTTATGTGAGGATCAATGTCCGAATTACCGTTCGTTATGTGAGGATCAATGTCCGAATTACCGTCCGTTTGTTGAGGATTATTGTCCGAATTACCGTCCGTTATGTCAGGATCAGTGTCCGAATTACCGTCCGTTATGTGAAGATCAGTGTCCGAATTACTGTCTGTTATATCAGGATCAGTGTCCGAATTACCGTCCGTTTTGTGAGGATCAGTGTCCGAATTATCGTCTGTTATGTGAGGATCAATGTCGGAATTACCGTCCGTTATGTGAGGATCAATGTCCGAATTACCGTCTGTTATGTGAGGATCAATGTCCGAATTACCGTCCGTTTTGTGAGGATCAGTGTCCGAATTACCGTCCGTTTTGTGAGGATCAGTGTCCGAATTACCGTCTGTTTTGTGAGGATCAGTGTCCGAATTACCGTCTGTTTTGTGAGGATCAGTGTCCGAATTACCGTCTGTTACGTGAGAATCAATGTCGGAATTACCGTCTGTTTTGTGAGGATCAGTGTCGGAATTACCGTTCGTTTTGTGAGGATCAATGTCGGAATTACCGTTCGTTATGTGAGGATCAATACCCGAATTACCGTCCGTTTTGTGAGGACCAGTGTCCGAATTTATGTATCGATAAAGCCGAGCTGTTGACTGTTTCGTATCTACAATGTATATAGCCGAACTGTTGACTTTTAAGTATATATAATGTCATAGTGTTTGTTATTATGTACATAGGAATAATATCGGCTGTCTTTTTAAGTTTTAAAAGCAAGAAATGACCTTCACCATCATTCTCCATTTCCTTTATATTGTAAAAGCACAACACGAATAAAACTCCATTCAGATTTGTGAAGTTAAATAGAAATCTGTTAAGCAGCTCAGTTTTTTTTTTGTTTTGTTTTGTTTTTTGTTTTGTAATAAATCCAGATTTTGACAAAGCCGTAAATGTGCCTTTCTTAAGCGGCGTTTATATTTCAGCATTCTATTTTCATTAAAAACAGCGATATTAATTGTGATAATGAAAATTGCAATTTTTTACTACAAAGTATTTTTTCATAATATAAAAAAAAATGTGAACGCGACTGTTTATCAGTGAGATATATAATAAAATTTCAAGGCGCCGGTACATATTCGTTTGCAGAACTTTGCGCGTATTTTAAAAGAAAAGCCAAACTTACCTGTAGCTGACGTGTCATCCCGAAATTCATAGGGAAATCCGCGTATATTTACAGGCAACAGTAGCAGTATCGTCCACAAAATAACGATAGAAAGTGTTGGAACGTCTTTTATGTTCATTATGTCTCTTTTGTTTTTCCTTATTTCCAAAATGGATATTTGTCAGTTTTGTCGATTTTTCCTTCGGAGTACAGTGCTGCCAAGCTTCTTGTGTATTCTCTAGTCGGAACTCACGAGTGCTGTCATTATATTCTGCCATACTATTGTGGGTGGACTGGGTAATTAATCCGAAACAGGGCGGAGCAAAGAATAGAATGAGGGGCGTGGTCAGACCTTGGCTGTCATCAACCAATCATAATTCAGAGTTGATTCATTTCGACTTAGAAATTTATTACATATAAATGGGACGTAGAAAATTTGAGCTTGTTTGTTATTTGCGACAGACTGCAGTGGGTTTTGATCAATAACTCACAGGGCTTCTTTATTTTACTGGTAGGCAGATGATCAGTGAAATGCTTCTGAATATTATCTGTGAGGGCGAACCACAGCTTGTCTTAATGACCATCAAATTATTGTTCTTCCGATGTTGGAGTGATAATTAATTTTAATTAATAGCAGATGAAATTGAGATTAAAATATCGATATGATAATTTCAACATTTTCTACTCAACGTTACACAACGTCGTTCTAATGGCGACAAGCAAAATAGAATTTTGTTACTTTTATGACGATCATCAATACAAAACTCTCCATTGGTTTTTATGAATTAAATTTCAGAATTGTGCTATTATTAGACTACGTCATTGACACGTCATTGCACGAGCATGCTAATTATCACGTGACAGGACGAACCCATCACCCATATTCTAATTTGTATCGATAGAAGGATTTTATTTGGTAAAAAGTTTATGAAACGATTGAATATTATTCCCGTAGTTTAGTGTACCTACTGTGATGTCTGTAGCAGTCGTTGGTTGGTTGGATGGTTGGTTGGTTGGTTTGATGGTTGGTTGGCTGTTGAGTTGGTTGGTTGGTTGGTTGGTTGGTTGGTTGGTTGGTTGATTGGTTGGTTGGTTTTTTGGTAGGTTGGTTGGTTGATTGATTGGTTGGTTGGTTGGTTGATTTGGTGGTTGGTTGGTTGATTGGTTGGGTGGTTGGGTGGTTGGGTGGTTGGTTGGTTGGTTGATTGGTTGGTTGGTTATTTGATAGGTTGGTTGGTTGATTGGTAGGTTGGTTGGTTGGTTGGTAGGTTGGGTGGTTGATTGGTTGGTTGGTTGTGTTGGTTGGATGGTTGGTTGGTTGGTTGGTTGATTGGTTGGTTGGTTGATGGATTGGTTGGTTTGTTACGACTGATATAGTCTGATAAACGCTTGTTTCTTATAAAGTACTCCTGAATTTTAATAACAGACAAGAGTAAAGACACGTCAATATTACGATTTCTGTCTGTGATAGTCAATGAAAAACGCTTCCAGGTTTCTTCCACGAATTCACCGACTATCAGACGGATTATGAGAAAGTATTTTGATAAGTCTACCTTACAGAGAAATGCATTGAGAGATTAAACTTATTTTCCAGAAATAGTAGTAAACGATAAATATAATCTTACAATCGTAATTATGAAATAAATAATCGATCACACTGATAAATAATTCTGTATATCACGTCTCGTGCCAATTATTGAACATATTTAACATACTTTGGTAACGTTGACACTCCCGTAAAACCCTCTAAACAGGGAGCAGATGTATCAGCTGGTCACAACCACTGTTTTAGTTTCAGTATTAGCTCAAGTTTTCATAACTTATCACTAGACATAAAACACACAGACACATAAAATGTACCTTTTTACATACTGCACACACAAATCACATTTATAATTAGCGTTACATACATAGTCACATCCACATCTTATCACTAGACATAACACACACCAATCACATTTATAATTAGCGTTACATACATAGCCACATTCACAACTTATCACTAGACATAACACACACCAATCACATTTATAATTAGCGTTACATACATAGTCACATCCACATCTTATCACTAGACATAACACTCACAAATCACATTTATAATTAGCGTTACATACATAGTCACATCCACAACATATCACTAGACATAACACACACAAATCAAATTTATAATTAGCGTTACATACATAGTCACATCCACATCTTATCACTAGACATAACACTCACAAATCACATATACTGGAGATTGTCATATCAATTTGATTTATTCTATCTCCTATATCTATTCTATCTCCTATATCTATTCTAACCCACTATATCTATTCTATCCTCTATATCTATTCTGCCCCCTATATCTATTCTATCTCCTATATCTATTCTATGTCCTATATCTATTCTATCCTCCTATATCTATTCTATCTCCTATATATATTCTATCCCCTATATCTATTCTATCCCCCTATATCTATTCTATCCTCCTATATCTATTCTATCCCCCTATATCTATTCTATCTCCTATATCTATTCTATATCCCTATATCTATTCTATCCTCTATATCTATTCTGCCCCCATATCTATTCTATCTCCTATATCTATTCTGTGCCCTATATCTATTCTATCCCCCTATATCTATTCTGTGCCCTATATCTATTCTATCCCCCTATATATATTCTATCCCCCTATATCTATTCTCTCTCCCTATATCTATTCTATCCCCCTATATCTATTCTATCTCCTATATCTATTCTATCCCCCTATATATATTCTATCCTCTATATCTATTCTATCATCTATATCTATTCTATCTCCTATATATATTCAATCTCCCTATATATATTCTATCCCTCTATATATATTATATCTCCTATATCTATTCTATCCCCCTATATCTATTCTATCCCCTATATATATTCTATCCCCCTATATACATATTCTATCTCCTATATCTATTCTATCCCCCTATATATAGTCTATCCTCTATATCTGTTCTATCCTCTATATCTATTCTATCCCCTATATCTATCCCATCCTCCTATATCTATTCTATCCCCCTATATCTATTCTGTCTCCTATATCTATTCTATCCCCCTATATATAGTCTATCCTCTATATCTGTTCTATCCTCTATATCTATTCTATCCCCTATATCTATCCCATCCTCCTATATCTGTTCTATCCCCCCTATATCTATTCTATCCCCCTATATCTATTCTGTCTCCTATATCTATTCTATCCCCCTAACCCACTATATCTATTCTATCCTCTATATCTATTCTGCCCCCTATATCTATTCTATCTCCTATATCTATCCCATCTCCCTATATCTATTCTATCTCCTATATCTATTCTATCCCCCTATATCTATTCTATCCCCCTATATCTATTCTGTTTCCTATATCTATTCTCTCCACTATATCTATTCTGTCTCCTATATATATTCTATCCCCCTATATCTATTCTGTGCCCTATATCTATTCTATCTCCTATATCTATTCTATCCCCCTATATCTATTCTATCTCCTATATCTATTCTATCCCCCTATATCTATTCTATCTCCTATATCTATTCTATCCGTATAACATATCCTACCCAATCTTATCCTTTCTTCTCTTAGACACTTACGTGATGTTTTTACCTAGATGGCTTAATTCTTTAGTATTTTCTTGGTTGATGAAAAATGGCTTGATGAATTTCGAGCTGATACCTACATAAAATCGGCACTTAATTACAAAATGGCTACATAATAACAATAGTCTGGACGAATGGTGTATATTTCCGGTAAGTAAGAAATAGATTTACATTGGTCACTGTAGGACGAATGGTGTATATTTCCGGTAAGTAAGAAAAAGATTTACATTGGTCACTGTGGGACGAATGGTGTAAATTTCCGGTAAGTAAGAAATAGATTTACATTGGTCACTGTGGGACGAATGGTGTAAATTTCCGGTAAGTAAGAAAAAGATTTACATTGGTCACTGTGGGACGAATGGTGTAAATTTCCGGTAAGTAAGAAAAAGATTTACATTGGCCACTGTGGGACGAATGGTGTAAATTTCCGGTAAGTAAGAAAAAGATTTACATTGGTCACTGTGGGACGAATGGTGTAAATTTCCGGTAAGTAAGAAAAAGATTTACATTGGCCACTGTGGGACGAATGGTGTAAATTTCCGGTAAGTAAGTGGGACGAATGGTGTAAATTTCCGGTAAGTAAGAAATAGATTTACATTGGTCACTGTGGGACGAATGGTGTATATTTCCGGTAAGTAAGTGGGACGAATGGTGTAAATTTCCGGTAAGTAAGAAATAGATTTACATTGGTCACTGTGGGACGAATGGTGTAAATTTCCGGTAAGTAAGAAATAGATTTACATTGGTCACTGTGGGAGGAATGGTCGGTATTCATTCCTACGTTTTGATGATAAACTGGGGGTGAAAATTACCACCATTGTCCTTCATCATTATAATCTGATTGATGCCTTAACTGAATCATCTAAATTCACTCATTTACATATCGAACCGACTGAAATATTGAATATGAATCCCAGATATGAATAATTAAATGTAATTAGAAATATCTTGATGGTAAGGCCGAGACACCCTGGTGATAGATTACATCTCCAGCCTCGACTTCACACACACGGCGCAATGAAGCACAAATATTTCTGATTAATTAATAAGGAATTTCAAGCATAAAACCACATGGAATGGACAATTGCTTCCTTGAAATAACGACCTTTCATCTTGGTTCCGTGATGTGTGAATCAAATAGACTTGATCAATTCTTGATATATAAATATGAACGTGAGGAATTTTCTGTAATGAATAAATCTCGACAAGTCTTTCAGAGGAATCGATGTATAAGTTTATTATAATTAAATTGGTTTTATTTGAAATCACTGTCGAGGACATTTTAATGATGATATTGCAGTGACATTGTAATGCTATAAACTTTGGTTTTAATGTATCAAAACTAATGTGATTTTTGGGACGGTTAACATTTTTTTCTTGCGGTCCGTGTAGAAAAATTACATATTCTCGGGGAGAACATCCGGGTAAAACGGACGTATCCTGGAGTTGTCACCGGAGTAAAGTACTCAACATGTATTCCTATCTAGTAACTCACAACTTGGCACGCCTA